GTTAAGTGCTCTGTAGTCGCCACAACGACGCCAATCTCCAGGGGTTTTCTTGGGTACCATATTCAGTGGGGACGACCAAGGGGAGTTGGATGGACGAATGATACCAAGCTGGAGCATGCGGTCGAACTCTGCACGAGCCATGGCCAATTTCTCGGGTGTGAGTCGGCGAGGTCTAGTGGTGACGGGTTGATCTTTGGTGCTGATGCTGTGGATCACCTCGTGTGTAACACTCGCAGATCATAGGAGGGTGACGTCAATTCTGGAAATTCCCGAAGAATATTGGAGAAGACAGATGACTCGGGTTCGGGTAGACGGAGTCCTATGGAACAAATGCGTGATGCACGAGCACTAACAGATAATGAGGTGGAGGTGTCGAGTAGTTTTTGCTGCTTGACATCAACAACGAGACCGAAAGCAGACAAAAGATCCACACCAATGATTGTAGTGTGGACATCAGCGATGGTGAAAATCCACCTGAATTGTCATCTTAAACGGAGATCGAGGGTGATGGAGCGACGGCCATAGGTGTGAATGCGACTACCGATTGCTGCTTGTAGAGTGACAGAGGTTGGTTGAAGGTGGCGGTGGTGTGCCGTACGGGGAATCACGCTCAGTTCAGCATCGGTATCAATGGAAAATCGGATACCAGTGCTTTGGTCTTAGATGAATAAAAGACTACTAGAAAGGATGCCGGAAACAGGCGCCGTTATCACTGTCCGGCTTTGGGGTTTCCCTGTGAGGTGACAGAACAGGGTGGGGTGCATTTCTTGGCTCTGGGGCCAAATTGTTGGTGGTACCCACAATGTTCAGGGTTAGAACTAGCTGGCGGGTGATTTCTGCGGGTTTGTGAAGTCGAGCGACTTCGACTTTGACTACGGCTGGATGACCGTGAACGGGAGAGGTGAAGAACCAATTGCTGCATCTGCAGTTCAAGGTTCCCCATGCGTGAAGTGATATCATCACAGCGAGGGACGGTCGGGGTTGGGTTAGAGCAAGCGGTGATGTGATGCGAAGCTGGGTTTGTTTCAAACATTTTATCCGCGGCCAGTGCCATTTCATCCAACGAACTGTTGGAGAGGAGGGATAAAACTTCTCGGATGCGTGAAGAAAGACGCTTCAACCAAAGCTGGCGGAGGATGGCGCCATCAAGTACGCGGGTGCCGAGGAGTTGCCGCATGTGTCGCAACAACTGGGACGGGGTGCGGTCGCCGATTTCGAGGTCCCCAAACAACTCATCTAATCGACGTTCATCCGACACAGCTGTGCGGGTGATTAACGCTTCCTTCAATTGAGTGTATGGGTCGGTCTCGGGCATGGTGATGATGAATTCGAACACCTGTTCCGCAATATCGGTGGGCAGGGAAGTGACTATATGGGAATACATAAGCGTCTGGGAACGGATGCGGTGGGCACGGAAATGGGCTTCGGCTTGGGCGAACCATAACCGGGGGTTGTTAATACCGAATACCGGTAATTTAATGTGAGAAGACATGGGAAGGTCCTCTATGTCTAGTTTTGATTGCTCCATGTGTGAAATATACCGTAAACAAGTAAAATAAAATGAAGTGAAATTCCTGAAGAATCTGGGGTACCGTAGGAAAATATGAAGCGATAGATAATCTAAACAAGGGCTCACCAAATATGTAGTGGAAAAGATACTACATATACGAATAATAATGAAATAAACGGTACAAGGAACGGACTCACAGAAGGATTGTCCGCTGGTCGATTGATCCTGTTCTTGTGATGTGTGGTTCCGGTCGATGAGGTGTAGAGGAGCTGAAATGGGTGACTGCGACAGTTAACGGACCGCTTGACGATAACTGATAATGCTTGCTTAATTCCTCAGCAACACTTGGAGAACACGTGCGTATTTACGAACAGAATATTGTATTGTGTATTAGGTACTGAGCATGTTAAAACAACCTGTACAATCAGGTCAGATGAGGTGGATAGAAAAGGAAGACTCTACACCCTCGCGATTCGCAGGAACCTATGCAGCAGAGGAAGCTCCCTCGGAGATTTCAGTGGCTTACTGTTGTCACTTATTCGGAGGCCGAGGCTACCACTGCGCAGGCTCACCTGGCCCAAGACCTGCAGCGGATGAGGTCGCATATAGTTACTTTGTTTGATGGTGACGAGGTGGAACCAGGGGCATCGATCAGAGTAAAAGCGGTATTCGGGCTTGGAAAACCCCGGCAGGATAATTCTTCACGACCACCTGAAGTGGTACTTCGAGCAGAAAGCGTAACCAAAGCGATACTCCCCAAGCTGAATGGAACCCCGGTGCGATTCCTCAGGGATCTTGATCCGGACCAGCGTAGTAAACTGAAAACTGCATTGATGGAACTCAGAGAGCGCCGTGCAAAAAGGGAAACCGATTTGTGTATGCGGGATTTTCGTGTGCACCGGAAGCGCCCTCAGTTGCGTTGACTGCCCTTGGTCGGTTGGAGGACCCAGGAGACTGTTTAACCACAGACGGGAGGATTAGCCTGAGGCGTGAATGGCGAGGTAACCACGCTGTGCTAGTCTCAACAAATACCCGAGGTTTGCTGGGAAAAACGGATGAGCTGGAGGACTGGGTTGTATCCCGCAATCCCGATCGTTTTGCAATCACTGAGACCTGGCTGACACCGGATTTTCGGGACTCCGAAATGTCACTCCACGGATACACAGTGTTTCGAACGGATCGATCATCGTCAAGTTGCTGGGGCGGAATATTTCTTTTTGTCCGCTTCGGTCTCCCTGTTGCTGGAGAATTACGCTCATCCGGAAGGATTTGGAGAATCCCTGTGGTGCAGAATCAAGCTTTGTGCCGGAGGGTGTACCACAGTTGGAGTGATTTACCGCACACCAGCTGTGTACGTCCCAGAGCTGCTGACCAGTATACAGAGGTACGCCTGCGATGGACATTGTCTTGTCTTGGGTGATTTCAACGCGCCCCATGTTGATTGGGAACGTGACATCTGCTCTCAGCACGAAGAGTGGTTTTCCAGAGAACTTCTTTTCGCTGTCCGGGCTCTCTCGCTTGTTCAGCATGTTCATGTGCCCAAGCGGATAGCTGGGGATCAAAGATCCATCCTTGACTTGGTATTTTCGCCGAGGCAATCAGATACGACTAGGATTGACCTTCTAACAATTACATCTAGTGATCACATCGTTCTGCGTATACACTGGAGGTTTGGCGTACCCCAAACGAACAGACAACAGGATGAATGGAATGTGTGGCGCTCATCCTTTCTGGATATGCGTCAGGCTGCATCGCTCAAAAATTGGGATTCCCGGAACCCTGAGGATGTGGATATATCCTGGGAGTTGGTTCGTCATAGAATCCAGCATCTCGTGCTAGAATTCACTCCACCTCACCGCCACCGAACATACGCTATGGCTCCACCGTGGTTTGACCGAGAACCGGGCTCGCCTCCGGCAGCGGAATAAAGCCTGGGCCAGGTACCGTGCAACAGGCATAGGATATGAGGAATATCGATGCATTCAAAATCATTGTACTGCACTAAAATAATGCAAGAGAACCAGATTCGAGGAACGACTGGCAGCGGATTCAGTACAAGGACCAAAGCGATTGTACGTTTACCTCAGGCGAAGAATCAGAGCAACGCCTGGTCTCCCGACTCTCGCCAAAGATGGGGCACTAGCCGGAAAAGATGAGAACAAAGCGGAGACGCTGACATCACATTTTGCCTCAGTGTATACCCCAGCATTCAGCACACTGGCACATCTGCTGGACACTGACACTGCGCTGAAATGGCCCCATTTGCCACCGGAGAGGTGGCCCTGGAGCTGCGTCGACTAAAAATTCACCAGTCACCAGGACCTGATGGTATCCATCCGCTGATCCTGAAGTAACTGGCAAATGCACTGGCAGTGCCACTGTGCAACCTGTTCAATTTGTTATTCACTCAAAGGCGTTTACCGCGGCAGTAGAAGGACGCTGTCATTGTTCCACTGCCCAAAGTTGGGGATAGGAATGACCCTGGGAACTACCGACCAGTCAGCCTTACTAGCGTTATGAATAAAGTAATGGAGCGACTGGATGCACGGCGTCGGCAGCATTTGGTGTGCCACGGTCAACTGTGCCACCAACAACACGGTTTCCGGACGGGTCGCTCATGCTTCTCAAACCTGCTACTTGCGCGTGAATGCTGGACCGAGGACAAAGCCCAAGGGCACGAGACGGACATCATCTTCGTGGACTTCGGCAAAGCCTTCGACAAGGTGCCGCAAGACCTCCTTCTCCTAAAGCTGTCCAACCGAGTTGAAGGTGTGGTCATGCGTATTTGGCCGCGAGATTTCCTCATCGAACCGGAATTCTGCGTCCGTGTTGGCAAATCGCTCTCTGCGTGGTATTCCGCTCCCAGTGGGGTCTAAAGCTAACCGGAGTTGACGGCCTGCCGGTATGTCTTCTTACGAGTCTCAGTATGCGCGCGACC